AAAAATGGTTCTGAAGTTGACTTTTTATAACAACGAAAATGTAGTATAAAAAGGTCAAAATTGGGCTATTTTTGTCCAAATATTGGGTCAAATTTCTCAAATATTTTGTTCCCTACGAAAGACTATTTACTTGATTTTTATGAAACTTTGCTATTATAGTCATTGACATCTCCTCTAAAGATTAGCGTCCCCGCCCCCTTCCTAGCCCCCCTCGAGGTGGACAAAAAACATGGCAAATCGATTTGACCCAAAAATTTCTGTGTTGTGGTCACGTGATTTCAATAATTTTTTGATACAAAAAACTAGACATGTGAACCTTCATTTTACTTTTTACAGATTTGATCTAGCTCTTCTAGTTTAGGTGTAATCGGGAAAACCGCGCGGACACTTTCATTTGACTGGTTAGATAACATTATACATAATGTATATGAAAATATTAATCAAAATAAAAAATAATAAACTAGTAATAAGATTCAATCAAACATTAAAGTAAACATCAACAACAATAATCATTATATAAGTGCATAGCACAATAAAAAAGATGCCAAGTTCAAAATTCAAACATAATACCCCACAATTTAAAACACAATACTAGCTAAAAGTTGGGGTTTCTTAATCTTGCCGCTGGGAGTGGTGGGAAATTTGTCCACAATTCTCAGCCCTCCCCTCAACTTCTTGTGCTCGTTCACCTGGCCGTCCACGTAGGCCACCAACTCCTGTTCGGTCACGTCCGAGCCCTCAACCACCGTCACAAAAGCCATGGGCACCTCTCCGTGGCCGTCGTCCGACACCGCAATCACCGCCGCGTTCACCACCGACTTGTGTCCCGTCAACAGGCGCTCCAACTCCGCCAACGCTATGTTTACGCCTGTAATTAGTGAGTGACTAGTGTTTAGTCCCGGGTTTTTGATAGCGCCCCGGAGTAGGGAGTTATTGAGTCCGGTGTAGGGTTGCTATAGAGTGGCATAGGGTTGGGTCGGGTATAACAATACAAACCGTCAACGATTATCATTTCCTTAATGCGGCCAATGATGTAGAAGTAGTGGTTGTCGTCATAATAACCAATATCGCCGCTCCGGAGGTATGAGTGCCCAGTGAATAGTCGTTCATTTTCACGACTATTGTTTACGTAACCCGGGGTTACCTATTGAATCAGGGTAAATGATGAGATGGGAGAGGTAACATTTAACTTGTTTTCATATCATGTGTTAAATTCTTTTTTGAAATAATATATTTAACTTTATAGTAAATATACCCTGCTCCTTTATGCAAATATACCTGATCGCCTTTCATGCATATCTCTCCCAATTGGTTGGCGCCCAGCGGCACACCATTCTCGTCGATCACCACGATCTGCATCCCGGGGTTCACTCGGCCCACAGTCTCGCAATTGGTCAATAGGTGGGCGTCGGGCGAGTGGACGGTCAACGCAAAACCACTCTCAGACATACCGTAGCCTAAAAGAATATATGGCATTATTTATGAGGCAAATATAAAAATTTTAATGTTTTTATAAATTATTTTTTAAATTATAATAAATATAAATGTTTTTAACTTTATTAAATAAACTTTATGCCACACTATCCCAGGGGCATGATTATAGACAAGTATTTAAAATGCTACAAAAATCATACCCTAACGTCATACTTACTATTACGGAGCCTAACGTCGGGCAGTAACCGGCGGACCGCCTCGTAAGTGGCGGCAGTTAACGGCGCGGCACCGGTCAGCACGTGCTTTAACGTAGCAAAATAACCCTCGGGGAACTTGGTCCAATTTTTCACCAAGTAGTTGAGTTGGGTGGGCACCAGTAGGGCGTCGGTCACCCTATACTTACTGATGGTGGCAAAAACATCATCGTGACTTTCGTCGCAGCGCAACACAGCTAAACACGCGCCCGACTCTACCGCCGACAACAGTGACCGTTGGCCACAGATGTGACACAACCCACACGATAGCAGTACGTCTGTGGGCGTGA